CTTAAGGCAGGACTAAAACTCATGTTGGTTTCTAGGCCATCACTAAAACAAATTGGTTCCTGTTATCAGAAGCATTCCTTATATATTTATCCATAGATCCATGAAACAATCAGAGAGACAGTTTATATCTTCAACGAGTGTTTCACAATTCTAAGATGCATAGACTCAGGGGTGGGATTCTACCTGGTTGGACCAGTTCTATAGAATCGGTTGTTACGATTCTGCGAGTTCAGATACCGGCAAATCATGCCACCCCGCCCACTCCTTATCTAGCATGCATGCCCTCCAACTTGCCTGCATTGTGCCTTCACCTAATTTTTAGTAAGTTGCTATTTTTCCTTTTTTTCCCCCCGACCATCAGTTGTTCCAACTATCAGCTGTGCCAGGAGATTTAGATTAGCTAGAAAGCAGGAAATCGTTGGATTTCTTGCTTTCCAGCTAATCTAAAGGCAGAGCTGAACCTTTCTTATGACTGAAGCTGTTTTTTTTCCAGTACAGACTCAAGTAACAGATTGCAGAAAGGTAGATCTCTGAGTGAATCTGTGATTCTGTGAGCAACTCAATCTGCCTGCTTTGCCTGATTTTGGGTAAAAGTTGCTCTTTTTTTATAAAAAAAAATATCAGTATTTACATACATGGTGTGTTGTGAGTTAATTTTGTGAATTTGCTTGCAAGCAAATTTTATGTGACAGACTCAGGCAGCAGATTGCAGAAAGGTAGATCTCTGAATGAATCTGTGATTCTGTGAGCAACTCAGTCTGGCTGCCGGCTTTGCCTGATTTTGGGTAAAAGTTGCTATTTTTTAATAAAAAATTCAATATTTACATAAATATTTACAATATTTACATACAAGCCGTGACCAGCCAGTCACGTGACCAGCAAGCCACACCCAGCCAGTCATGTAACCAGCAAGCCACACCCACAAATTAGGCCATGCCCCCAGAACCAGTTGTTAAGAAATTTGAATCCCACCCCTGCATGGACTTCAACACCCAGAGTCTCCTAGGAAGAAGTTGGTCATGGTCAACTAGGAAGAACTTAGTCATGTTCTTAATGCAACGTTTCTCAACCATGGCAACTTTGATACCCAGAATTCCCAACCAGCATGAGAGAATGGCTGGCCCAGCCAGCTTTCATGCCAATGGCATGAAATAGGTCAACCTATTTTTCAAGGCAAGACTAGAAAGAATGCATGGAAACTAACCAAGGAGAGAAGCAACCTAGCACTAAGGAGAAATTCCCAAACAGTTAGAACAATTAGAATATCAGTGGAATGGCTTACCTTCAGAAGTTACGGGTGCTCCAACACTGGAAGTTTTTAAGAAAAGATAGGACAATCATTTGTCTCAAATGGTGTAGGGTCTCCTGCTTAAAAGGGGGTTGGACTAGAAGACCTCCAAGTTCCCTTCCAACTCTGTTATTTCTCCCAACTCCATTTTTGCAGCATTCTCTTACGCATAAAATTTTCAAATAAATAAATATTGACTGAAGCATAAGATGAAACTATTTCTAATGTGATCCTACTGTCAAATACACTCAGAATAACACAGAAGATAGTAATTTATACTCTCTAGTGTATGTTTTAGCGGCCCATATATTCATAGTTAAAACTGCACCTTAACTCCCTGCATGTTTTCATTAATTCTACACCACAAGATTACACCATCTTCAGTGAGACTTCTAACTTCCTTCTCCCTTTGCTTAGTTCCCCAGACACAGTATTTATCTATTTTTGTTTAGAGGTAACCCTTCAATTATGGCCACAATTTGGATGAGGAGTTCTGTTGTTAAGCAAGACAGCTGTTAAGTGAGTCGTATCCAATTTGACAACCTTTTTTGCTGCAATTGTTAAGGGGATCACATGGTTGTTAAGCGAAATCTGACTTGCCCCACTGACTTTGCTTGTTGGAGGCCAGTTGGGAAGGTTTCCAATGGGGATCACATGACCCTGGGATGCTGCAACCCTCTAAATGCATAGCAGCTGCCAAGTGCCCAAATTTTGATCATGTGACTGTGGGGATGCTGCAATTGTTGTAAGTGCGAGGACCGGTCCTAACTCACTTTTTCTTAGTGCTCTTGTAACTTCGAAGTGTTGTTAAATGAATAGTTTTAAATCAAAGAGTGCCTGTAATTTAATTCATCATTTTTAGCATTTCTTGTTCCAGTCTTCCAAGTAGCAACCTTCCCTCACTGCATGGTCCTTAGATCCTGACAACCTACAAAGCTTTGGTCAATCCAAGATTTCACATACAGGTAGTCCTCCACTTATAACAGTTCATTTAGTGAACGGCACTGATACAAGAGGCTTATGACCCGTTTTTCACACTTAACAACCGTTGCAGCATCGCCCCATGGTCACGTCAGCAAAATTCAGGTGCTTGGCAACTAATTCAAATTTATGACGGCTGCAATGTCCCAGGATCACGTGATCAGCTTTTGCGACCTTCCAACAAGCAAAATCCATGGGAAATCCAGACTCACTTAACAACCACGTTACTAACTTGACAAGCCCAATGATTCACTTAACAACGGTGGCAAGAAAAGTCGTAAAAGGGGGCCAACCAGGGGTGGGATGCTACCGATTCTGCCCGGCTCTATAGAACCGGTAGCTCTGAAGAGCAGCAGACACTGAACCAGTTCTGTGTCTGCTGCTGTTTGGCCCACCCGCCCGCCCGGGCTCTTACCTGTCCTTTATTTCCTGCTTTTTCAAGCTCAGCTGCATTGCGCGGCATGGCACAACTGAGGTTGAAAAAGCAGGAAAAAAGAGGCTTTTCTAACGCTGTGCACCTGTGAACAGCACTTTTCACCTGTCCGGGCAGCACAGCTTAAGGTTTTCTTACACGCACACGCATAAAAAACAAACCGGTAGTAACATCAGTTGAATCCCAACCCTGGGGCCGACTCACTTAACAAATGTTTCACTTAGCAACATAACTTTTGGGCTGAATTGTGGTCATAACTTGAGGACTACCTGTAATGTGTTGCAGGGAGAAAATACAGATTTGGTGAAGAGCCATGGTTACAGCTATACCACGTAGGAAGAAGAGTAGCAATCAATTTGGACTTACCGTTAAAATATTACACTGCTAAAAAAATGGAAATCATCTCCGAATCCATATAGGTAATAAAAAATTTTCTAGGAATAATACAGGGCAGAGGTGATATTCAGCAGGTTCTGACCAGTTCTGGAGAACCGGTAGCAGAAATTTTGAGTAGTTTGGAGAACCGGCAAATCCTACCTCTGACTGGCCCCGCCTCCATCTATTCTCCGCCTCCCATTGAGTCCCAGCTGATTGGCTGGGTCTTCTTTGGTTGCCCTGCACAGGAGAATGGAGCTGGAAAGCAGGTTAGTGGGGTGGGGAGGGAATGGGATTTTACAGTATCCTTCCCCTGCCATGTCCACCAAGCCACACCCACAGAACCAGTAGTAAAAAAAATTGAATCCCACCACTGATACAGGGTACTACTGGTGACTACTTAGTGACCGTTCAAATTTACATCGGCATTGAAAAAAGTGACTTATGACATTTTTCACACTTACGACCATTGCAGCATCCCCATGGTCATGTGATCAAAATTTGGACGCTTGGCAACTGACTCGTATTTATGACGGTTGCAGTGGCCCAGAATCATGTGATCCCCTTGGCGACCTTCTGGCAAGCAAAGTCAATGGGAAAAGCCAAATTCACTTAACAACCGCCATGATTCACTTAATAACTGGGGCAAGAAAAATTGTACAATGCAACCTTTTACGTGCGAAACTCACTTAACCAATGTCTCGCTTAGCAACATAAATGTTGGACTCAGTTGTGGCTGTAAGTGTGGGTGCTAGCAAGTTACAGGAGGAGAAAAACCCACCATCAATTGATAACAGATAATCAGAGTTGGAAGGGACCTTATAGGTCATCTAGTCCAACCCCCCGCCCAAGCAGGAGACCCTACACCAGTGGTGGCTAACCTTTTTTGGCTCCAGTGCCGATAATTGTGCACGCTCAACTGCCAGCACCTGGAAGGCAATGCGTGCTGCCCCTCCACACCCCTCGCATGTGGGTGCGCATCCTGTGCGCCCCCCTCCGCCCCCTGCGCATGTGTGCCAGATACCTGACAATCAGCTGTTGGGCAGCGCCGTGCACACACATGCGCAGTGGGGCTCTTCCGGGCGACCTCTTGGATGCCGGGGGAAATGGCTCTCCGCATGCATGGCATAGGTTCGCCAACATGGCCCTACACCATTTCTGACAAATGGCAGTCCAATCTCTTCTTGAAAGTCTCAAGTGATGGCGCTCCCACAACTTCCGAGGGCAACTTCTGTCTCATTGGTTGATTGTTCTCACAATTGGTACGGAAAGACATCAATATATGCCCAATCTTCTCTTTTTAAAAGGGAAAAGTTTAGGAATAATCAACCTTAACCACAGCAAAGAAGCTACTCAGAATATGAGAATCTCTCCATACAGCCCAGCCAATTTTTATAGGAATATGAAAGGAAAACAGAGGAACTCTTTGCAATGTCGTTATCGCCTGAATGCAGACTTACTCCGGATTTTTTATTTTTAAGAGGCATTAGGTGCAGATGTTGAGTTTTAAGCAAAGACATGATAGCAATCTTCAAATATCTGAAAGGCTTTCATATGGAAAGCAGATTTGTCCTGTGTTGTTCAGTGGGGCAAGACTCAGGCTGGGCGAAGAAAATTGCGTGCTTAAACGCCATTTTTGGTTAAATTTTAGAACTTAACTTCCTAATATGGCATTTGCAAAACCTGAGGGCCCGAATGGCCTCTGTGCCCACAAGACTGTTCCAATTACCTCTGAATACTCATTTTTTTTTAACACCACAGAAGAGAAGTGTTATAAATACACGAGGAATCATCATACTAAGGGTGCTTAATATAACTTTTAATGTACATTTAAATTAAGTCAAAAGTAGCAAAATCATGTGTAGGCTGACTTCTTTATTATTTCTTTTCTTTTCTCTTTTAGCCTATTTTGTGTTTCTGGGGAATTTTGGTTTTAAGATGAAACGAAGAACAGTAACATTCCTTGTTAATATGCACCCCCCAAAGACATGAAATTGTGCCGTAAAAAGCCTCTTCTCCATCCCACAGCATGAAACCCCAAGAACATGAGGGGAAAGGCCTGTGAAAAAGGGATGTGGTAATGCAGGAAGAGCTGTGAAAGTCTGCTGGGTGTTGGGATAATCAGCTCCAGATCTGCAAGGATTTTTAATTGTTCGGTGATTGCGATAGCTAGATGACTGCTCCCCATCCTCGACTCAAGGGTGGGGGAAATTGGTGGAAAATTCCAAGTTCTACAGCTGGAATGGAGAAAGCATGAGGTCAGCAGGCCAGGAATTAGGCAGGGAAGGACTTGAACTTTACTCA